CTGCAATTGAACAGAAGTATGAATATTAAGTTGCTTGTGAAATAACCATTGATACTGAAGTATGGTAAATATTAAAGCAACTATTGTATTGCAAGTTTACCATGTGCTTGATGAAGTATCAGTTGATGAGTTCTCATTTTTGTCAGGTCTGCCGATACTGTCAGCAGCAGCCTGAAAAATCTACATGTTTTGTGTGTCAAACTTCTGAGAATCTCTGGATTTGTGTTATCTGTGGTTTTGTTGGATGTGGGAGGTAATAATTTGTTTCCTTTTACATATTGGTGTTTATTTTATTTTTTTTCTCTCCTTAATATTTTATTGGTCAGCAATCAAGAAGTCATTCTTTACTAGAGAAAATTTTGGAGTAGGTATAAAGAAGGACATGCCACAAGGCATTGGAAAGAAACACAGCACTGTTATTCTCTGGAATTGGAAACACAGCGTGTCTGGGATTATGTTGGTGACAATTACGTTCACCGGCTAATTCAATCCAAAACTGATGGTAAGTTAGTTGAGTTGAATGGACATTGCATGCATGCTAATGACAGTTGTGGAAGCTGTGGCTGTGCCGATTCTGGGATTAGTGAGGCTCTTTTAAACAGCAAAGTTGATGCGGTAATTTCTTTACAATCTCTGTTTTATTTCTTAAAATATTTTCGTATTTGACTTAGTACCTAATGCCATATGTTCATTTAAAAATATTTTCAGATTGTTAATGAATACAACGAACTTCTTGCCACCCAACTTGAGAACCAAAAACTAGTAAGTACCTTCTACCATTTTCCTTGAAAAATCAAATATTTCTTAAACTTACGAGTAAGGCTAAGTTAGACTATGATTTGACCCAAATATTGCGTGTGAGTAATTGTCCTTTATGGTCTACACAAGCTTAATTCCATTTTTAGTCCAATGGCGGTACACTTTTCCAAATTGGTTATGGCTTTTTTTAAAACTTGAAATTGAGAATTCAACTCTTCTTTTTATTTTCAAAAGTCCTTACCTTAATTATTCTGTTGAAGATTAAAAAAATTGTAATGTTGCCAGACCATCAAAAACTTGATGATGTGGCTGCCACAAAAGAAATACTAGGTGTGAAGTAAACATGATAATGGAAAATAGAAATAATCAAACAAACTACCTCCCTCCCCCTCTGTTAGGAACGTTAATGCAAAATTGCACCTTTTGATACGGTGCTTCGAAGAAGGAAAAAGAAATGATTTAATTGGCAGGTGTTGTTTTATGTGGCTGTATAGTCTGCAGGTGCTTTTTTATGTGGCTATTATATATTATTATTTTTAAGCGGTTATGTATTTGGTATTGTAACTGTTTATAGTAGAAGGAAAAATCAATTAGAAAACTTATGTAGTTTGTATTGTTTAGGAGTTGTATTGTGTGTTTAGTATGAGAAAATTAGGGAGAAAAATAGAGGGCAGTTGGCTGGAAATCAGAAGACAGTTGACTGACTGTGGAAGTAACTGCCAGAATTAACTGTTCCTCCTTTCTTTCTAACACCTTTGTTGTTCTGTTTACAGTTATGCTGGGAAAAATTTTATTCAAGTTTATCCTCCATAATCAATACATTGGCCAGTTCTCTCCAACTCCTCGCTTCCCAATCCCTCTACCCCTCCAAATAATCTAGTCTCTTCTACTCAGAGAATAGTTTGTCATGTTTCCTCTCTGATTCCCCAAGATCTCCTTGCCCCACTCCTTCAATCTATCCTTAATCACAGATAATTTCTTGGCCATCTTGTAGCCAGGGGATGGCCAGCATTGCCCAGATATATGTGTATATATTGTAGAACTATTCAGTATACAGGCACATGTGTGTGTGTGTGTATATGTATCTATAATTGTATACACACAAGCTTGACCCATCACTCAAAAGTACAATGTTCATTTGGAATGTACCCCCCAAAGTAACGGCTGTAACTTCTAAGGATTGGAGTTTAGTAAAAGACCAACAAATCTAAACATATTTTTCTGGATTGCCTTTGCATTTTTTCTGTACTAGGATTATATATCCCATGGTGTTCCCACGATACTGGGATGTAATAACTGAAGAGAGACCCATATATATATATATGCACTAAATCTAAATTCCTCTAAAAAGATTGGTAGTTACCAACTTTGTGGTTGAAGCATACCAAATTACGATTCCAATACATTGTCTTTCAGTAATTAAAAAGAAACAAACAATTTGCAAGGAAGAGACTGAACCATGATCAGTCAAGAACCTCGCAGACAACAAGGGTTGTTTCTCATGATCCAAGCTGTGCATGCTACGTCTCTGGAGTTGGGGGAGAAAGTTGGAGAGCAAGAAGAGAACCACTAGAACCGAAGAACACTGGAGGAGATTAGGTATTTGACTAGTATATTGATAATGAAGGCTGATGAGGCTACAACGCCATTGTTGTGACTGGAAATAAGCTTTTAGATTGAAGATTTTTTCTTGTCAATTTGTTTGTTGCTTTCCACTCTCTAGGTTTTACTTTCACACCTAGAATTGATATTGTGGTAGCCACATGACCAATTTTTTCTTATGAGGCAGCCACATGAACAATTTACGTAAGTTATTGAAAATAAAATGAAAAGTTGAGTTCTTAATTTAAATTTTAAATTCAACGGCCAATTTAAAGAAAGTATCGAAACTGAATAAATAGAAATAAAAGTAAGCCGATATACATAGATTCACATTTAACATGCAGATTGAAATTCTCTGTTATACCCATAGTATTTTGAGACATTGCTACAAGAGGTCAAAGAGGAAACTGAAAGGGAAATTTCTGAAGCTGTTAACAAGGCTGTCGGTCAGAAACTGCAGAGGATGAAAGCCAAGCTTGATAGATGTGTCAAAGAGAAGAAATTTCTTGACGATGTGAGTTTTAACAGGTCATGTATGAAAAATGATGAATATACTCTTTTTTTAATGACAAATTAGTAAAGTAAATGATTATGTGAAATCTCTGTCTCTCTCTCATCTGTTTCCCAAATGCTTCTTGATGGATATCAGAGAAAGTAGTATTCTTTTTCTCTTGACAATCTTGAATAAACGAAAACGATGTAAATTTATTCCTATGCTTATTCTGTACCATAAATAAACCATAATTGTGTTAGTAACATCTTTCTTCTTGATGTAGCTCAACGAAAATCTACTGAAAAATCAGGACATATGGAAGGCAAAGATTTTGGAAATGGAGGAGAGGTATGACTAATTTGTTCTCAGCTTATTTCTCCTTTGTTTATGTTCTGCCCAAGTTAATTGGCATGTTTTGTTCTCCAAATCATTCAAATTCAAAATCTCTACTCTGACATATGATCAATACCTGATTTACACAGTTTTATAATAGCAGTTCAGTGGTTGCCTTGTTAGAATAATTTAGTAACCTAGCTAGTATACATTCACAATAAACAACAATTATACTTTTGCTGTAAATACCCCTTGTTCTTTTACTTTATTGAAGAGGGGCAAGAAGATAACTGATTTTCATGTATATTATGAGTCTTCAGTATGCTATGAATGTCTTTTGCACTTGCCTGTCATCTAACCTTGAAGATTGAAACATCAGGGAGAAGAAGGCCTTGAGAGTGAAGGATGAAAAGATTCAGGACCTGGAAGAAAAGGTAATACAGTTTGTATTCCTCGTTAGCTTTTGTTTGCTTGCAAGCCATAAGATGCCTCAATTATCTGGTGAATCTCCAAACATTATTTACTTGCAGCTTAGAGAGTTGATGTTGCACCTTGAAGACACAGAAACAGTGGAGCAGATACCAGTTGTAAACGAAATAGAAGATGATACTCACTTACAAGGAATAGGGTCTTCTTCCACAACGATGCAGAGAGAAGAAAAGAAGGTCAGTAACCAGAAAGGAGGTTGAAGGATTAAAGATGGATACTTAGGGTTGGGGATTAACCAGAAAAGGCTGCATGATATGGTTCCATTTTGGACAAAGTCTTTGTAAATTTGTTGTGTTACATATTTTCAGCAAAATTGGCAGCTGCTGATTATTTTTGGAAAATCTAGGCTGCAGTTATCAGCATAGTATGACCAAAGTAGACTAGTTCATATTTTTCTTCTTTTGTAAAGGATGGAAACTCGGTCTTGTAAGATTTGAATCCGAGATCCAAGCTTTTTAAGTTGGATTTCCTGGGAACCAAGTGCCTGTACAAAAACTAAACAAATTAGAAACCAAAATAAAAAGATACTCTTTGTACACCTTTTTTTTCCTACCTCTAACTTGCCAATTTGAAAGAGAGCAAGAACCTGATGTTGGTATTTCTGAATTCCAAAACAGAAGCATAACAGTAGAAACCCTAAATGAGCAACCCCACCATGAAGTACATTTGAACCCAAGTAAAAGTAAATGTTACAAGGAATTGAAATGAGAATGTAATATAAATGTTATAGAAATTAGAAAATAAGGTATTATAATTTTAAGTTAATTTTATGTTCAACCAAGCATTTCTACAATCCATTTTTAATATGTACCAATACAAATTCATTGTTGTGCATTTGAAATTACAAATAAAAGTGTTTTTAGTTATGTATTATGATACGACTTTCTATAAGTAAATTTTATAAATGGAATAAAAACGAAATATATTTGAACCGGATATTTTCATAAAACTAAAAAATATATATTTTTTACTAAGTTATTTTTCAGATCAACAGTTTTGACTATTATTTCAATTATGTTTATATTCAAAAGTAATTAATTAAAGATATGACATGTTATATTTTTTATCATTACTTATAAATGTTACATATATATATATATATATATATACATACATACATATCCATTTATGAACAGATCCCAAAAAGTTCGTGTAATTTTCAAATATTCAAAAAATTATTTAAATATTTAATAATAATTAAACATTTTCTTCCTTTTTCTGAAAGTTCTTAGAAATTTAATTACTTGCAAGATATTTTGTTCGTCCATGGGTTCCGTTCCGACATGTAAAAGACCTAAATATCCTTATGCTGACGTAATAAATAAAATATTTATTTTTCTTTAAACTTGTAATCTTGATAATAAATTAATAATCTAAGTTTCATTTTTTACATTAGAATTGATGTTTTGTTTATCATTAGTCAGCATTTTGTATTAAAAATTAATAGATGAAAATAATAATTATTTTCACGAACGTATATATGTTTCATATGGTCTATATTATTCTTTGGTTTAAAATTTTTATTTTATTTTTTAATATCAATTATAATATATAGAATTACATTATTTTTGTTTATATTTTTAAATTTTATAATAATAAATTTTGTAAATTTAATTAGTAAAAAATTCATAAACACATATTTTAAAATTAAGTATGAAATTAATTTAAATTATACTGATTTTATTTAAAATTTTCTTATATTTATATTTTATTATATACCTTATTAAAGTATTCCAAATTTTAATTAAAAAATTAATCCAATAACTTATGTGACCATGGGCAATTATGTAAATTCACGTACCCTCAAAAGAACAAATAAGTATTATTATTATTATAAACAAGAAGGCACATGAACGCATTTCACAGGATTCGCAGAGGGGCTTTGCAAGCCAAGTACCCTCATCATCGTCATCATCAACAAGGTTCTTGAGAATCCATTAGAGGTAACCTTATCAATAATCTATCTGTTAATTATTGGGGGAGTTATAAATTATATTCAACCTTTTTGAAAAAGAAAAAACTTTGTATCTGGTTTTAAAGTGTTCTCTGTTTGTGCGGTGGGTGAATTCTTATATTCTGCGTGTTTATGTCTATTCGCTTTTAGATTATTAGATTTTTCCATTTTATGACTTCAATTCGCAAGAGCCTACTCAAATTGTGTCTTGGGACCAGTTCGCGTTGATTTTGGGAATATTGCAATTAGTTCAATGTTAAATTAAAAGTTTTTTTTTTGTGGATTTTTTATTTTGATCTTGTTTATTAGGCTGAATTTAAATATGCTTTCTTGCAGCATATCGTTTACGTTTGATCTCTAAGGAACATAAGCATGGTTCTCTGAATGTTATGGGATGTTTTATGTGGATTTGTGAATGTGAAGTCCTACTTTTTGAATGATACGAAGGAATTTCATTCTTTGAGAATTCTGTGTTAAGAGTTTTTACTCTGGTAATACCAAATAAATATACGGTGCTGTCCAGTGATGTTTTTGTTTTATAATTATTTATGCGTTTGTAGGGTTTGATTGATGACTCTGAGAATTTGGAATTTGATTGTTTCTTTTTTGTGGCTTCATAGGAAGGTTTTACGCTTTGGTGTGATTGCATTAGTCTTTTTTTTTTAGTAACTTTGAAGAATGGATGCACCCTTCTATTATCAGTCAATTATTGTTGCTTTCAAAAACAATTGTCATTTCCTTTTCTGATATTTCACAAAATGAAAAAGAAATTGGGCAATGGATAACCCTGCAGTAGTTCTTCATTTTTTGTAACAATTAATTGTCTAACAGCCCTGTTCTTTTTCTCTTTATTGAAGTTAGTAAATTCTCCATCAAAAGAGTACTGTTATATTGACTGGTAAGAACCACAATTTTCATATTGATTATTTGGTTTGCTGCAGGTTGCTGCAGGTTTATGCCTACATTAAAGCGAGGAATATCTAGTTGCAATGGATGAATTGCCAGATCATTTAGTTTGGGAGATTTTAGTTCGGATTCAGAAAACTGTTGACAGAAACTCTGCTTCTTTGGCATGTAAGCGTCTTTATGAAATGGATAATGAACAGAGGTATTCTCTTCGGGTTGGTTGTGGTTTAGATCCTGCAAATTATGCTTTAACTTCCCTTTGTACTAGGTTTCCCAACTTGACAAAAGTAGAAATAACTTATGCGGGCTGGATGTCCAAACTGGGGAAACAGTTGGATGACCAAGGACTTCTAATTCTTTCCAATTGTCCTTTTCTGACTGAACTTACTTTAAGTTACTGCACATTCATCACCGATGTGGGCCTTCGTTATTTGGCTTCTTGCTCCAAGCTTTCAGCCTTGAAGTTGAACTTCACGCCAAGGATCACTGGTTGTGGTATACTCTCTCTTGTGGTGGGCTGCAAGAACCTCGTCATTCTCCATCTTATCCGATGTCTGAATGTTACGAGTGTTGAGTGGCTAGAATATCTGGGCAAGCTTGAAACTCTGGAGGATCTCTCCATTAAAAATTGTAGAGCAATTGGGGAGGGTGATTTAATTAAGATAGGGCCTAGTTGGCAGAAACTTAAGCGGTTACAATTTGAAGTTGATGCTAATTACAGATATATGAAGGTTTATGACAGGTTAGCTGTAGATCGATGGCAAAAGCAATTGGTTCAGTGTCAAAATATGCTGGAACTTAGCTTGGTGAATTGCATCATCAGCCCTGGGAGAGGGCTTGCTTGTGTATTAGGGAAATGCAAGAACTTAGAGAAGATTCACTTGGACATGTGTGTTGGTGTTAGGGACTCCGATATCGTAAGCTTAGCACAAAAATCAAGAAACCTCCGTTCTTTGTCTCTCCGAGTCCCTTCAGATTTCTCGTTGCCTCTTTTGATGAACAATCCATTGAGACTGACTGATGAAAGTCTGAGAGCCATCTCTCAGAATTGTTTGATGCTGGAATCAGTCAGGATATCCTTTTCTGACGGGGAGTTTCCATCGTTTTCTTCCTTTTCCTTAAATGGAATAGTTACTTTGATTCAGATGTGCCCAATTCGGGAACTGTCTCTTGATCATGTGTACTCTTTCAATGATTTTGGAATGGAAGCTTTGTGCTCAGCCCAATATCTTGAAACCTTGGAGCTTATCAGATGCCAAGAAGTTAGCGATGAGGGCCTGCAGCTTGTGAGCCAGTTTCCCCATTTATCTGTGTTAAAGTTACACAGGTGCTTGGGGATCACAGATGATGGACTAAAGCCGCTTGTGGGTGCATTCAAATTAGACTCGTTAGCTGTGGAAGATTGTCCCCAAATTTCTGAAAGGGGTGTTCAAGGAGCTGCTAGATCTGTGTCGTTTCGGCAAGATTTATCATGGATGTATTGAAACACGTGGGAGCATCGCAGGCCTCAGTGGTCAAGATATCATTACCTGATTTATTTGTACAGTCTTCACCATTTTCTGATGATTATTTGGACGTGTTATTGCATCTGTTGCCTGCATACCTTTGTCGGTAAATTTTTGCCGAGCGTTTTCTCGTTTGCTATGATAATGTATTATACACTGTTGTAATATTACTAACAATTGTAGTGAAATCACCCAATTCCGTTCCAGTATCAACTACATCCTTTGAGCTCTAAGGGCGAGTTCATAAACAGCAGTTTGCAACTCGGAAGTGCGATGACCAGCAAGTTTTTTCCTGGAGGTCAGGCTTCTCATATCTATATCAATCATGAAATAAAATTTTCAGTCATGAAAATATATTTTAAGTTTTCTTTCCATGAAATGTTAAATAAATTATTAAATAACAAGTAAAACAAGAGAATATTGCCTGTATCTTGCTCTCATTGTTTAATTTACAAATGGGTAGGTCTTGTATTGAAAACACACCATTGTTTTGGCTGTGGATATTTAAAAGTCAGGTATATTATGATCAACAGATATAAACTTATAATACATCCTAGAAGTGCTTGCTATTCAATTTCCTTTAAGAAAAAAAGAGAGATCTAGCCAATTAGCTGCTGCATCACTGACAGCATAAATAATTAAGACCAAATAGTTCAAACTTTTACTGAACTTTTTACTTTATTAAGATTTGTTTATGATATATTTTCAAAAGAAAATTAGTAAGTGATTGGTACTCCAGTGTTGATGAAAGTAAGGAATCAAATATTAATACAAAGATGAGAAAGTTGTTTGTATTTATTGTTATTTTATGCTCAGAATACATGAGTGTTTGGTGTATGTACAATAGACTGTAGTTAAGATAGCCTAAGACAGTCTAGTCATCTAATATACCGAGCAAATTTTAGACTTACTAAAAACGTAGAGTTCGTTACTTTGTAATTATAGGTTAGAACTTACTAAACCGTAACGCTTGATTCAATAAATTTTGAAAGTTAACTCATCAGTGTGATGATAAAATTACCGTGAATAAATTTAATTAATAAATATTTTATTGTAAAAGTTTTTATAATTAATGTATTTAGAATGGGTTAAAAAGTTTGATTTATTTTTTAATCATAAAATAAAAAGATGGAATTTCTCATACTCGAATACATGAGTGTTTGGGTATTGGTATAACGGATACCGTATGAGTCATTTAATAATTAAAATTATTGTGCAAGTTCCAACTTTACGATGTAGAATTCTTTACACAGTTATCAATTTATGATATTTGATTTAATACAAATTTTAATTTTAATTTATTAGTACATTGATAAAATTATAGCAATAAAATTATAATTTGTTTTAACA